TTCTGCGCTTAAGGTGATATTTTTCTCTTTAAATTCATAATGTTGGTTACCTTTGGCAAAATGCACAAACATCTCACCTACATTCGCATCGGCTTTTACAAAGTCACAAATATAAAAATTTTGTTTGAGCGTGGTATCGCCCGTTTTTTCAAAAAAAGCGACTGGCTGCGCTGTAGCAACGCCGCGCCTAAGCAACTCAACCGCGCCATTCCAGCTTCGCTTGGCTTTGCTAGGCTTAAATCGGTCTAAAAATGCTTTGTGCGGATACATTTTGACAGGTTGCTTTACCGTCACTTGCCTAGTGCTATCGCGTGGGTCGGGCACTGCCCAAATTGCGTTTCTGGCATGGCGCAGGGCAGCATTTTTTTGTGGTGCTGATAATTTTTCTGGGTGAAGCTCTCGCCCAATCAACTTCGCCTCGGTCGCACTTTTAGCTAAAATCAGACCAAACCAGCCATCTTGCTGAAATGGGTAATATTGCAAGGCTTGAATATGCGCATGAATCGCTAAAGCTTTAGCTAAGCTAGGTTGCGGCTTAATTGACATTGGCTGCCCCTTAGGCCAGCGCAAATAAATTGGCGATTCGGAAATGATAGTGGGCTTTTCATCCAAAATCATGCCATCGCGGTGCATCACTTCAGCTTGCAAAATCGTCGCTTCTGGGTAAATTTCGCTCAACAAAGCGACTTTGCCGTTAATCGTCCAACAAGCGTGCACTTCATGCTCGGCAGTTTGAAAATGATGGATTTCCAAACCCTCTGCGGTGGCAAGCGCGGCCTGATAGTGCGCGCCTTGCACGAGCGTAGCCACGGTTTTCATGGCATTAAAGCTGGCATGATGCCAAAAATTTTTAGGCTCGCCATCTACGCTAGCGTAATGGGTGACGCGCTCAAGTGCTGGGTAAGTGGCATCATTCAAACCATCATCAATCAAGCCCTCACGATGGCAAATCAGCGCACCCCAAAACGCTTGGTCTAACGCGCCAGAAGCTGCATTGAGTATCATATACCTCGCTAAATAATCGGCCTGCTTATGTTCGCCATCTGGCAACAAACGCTCTATGCGGTATATTGCCCAAAATGCTACAGGTGAAATAAAATGCGCTATGCCAAAATCAGCAGTGACTTTTTTGAGTAAACGGGCTTTTTTAACCAAGTTATATTTAAAACATGTTGCCCAGCGGTATTTAAAAATGCGATGATCAAAGCGTTCAGGTTCAGACACGCGCTCGGAAAATAAATTATTGGTGTGAATACTTGGCAACTGATTTTTTGCCCTAAGCATTTGCAAAATACCAATATTGTAAATAGGCTCAAAATCGGTCACATTCGGGCCAGCTAAGGTAATGCCATTGGCTTGGGCAGCGTTAAATGCAATGTCCCACGCAGCAAAAAAACCATCCACTGTGTAACCCGCCCAGCGTTTACGGTTGATAGTTGAGCCAACTTCCACACGATGAATGCCTGTGCCGTAAAGGCTAAACACTTGATTGACAAAACCTTGCCATGCGGCCTGCTCGGCACGGTTTTGCATATTTTTAGCATTGGCAAACGGCTGAATTAAATGCAAAGTGACTTGAAATTGCTCAGCAATTAAGCGGCTTAAAAAACGCGCATTAAAACTTTCTAAATCGCCATAGGTAAAATCTAGCCGTACTTGGTGGATGCCCAATGCGCGCATTTGCGCGATGACATAATCATCCATGCTAGCATCTGCATTGGTGGCCACACATATGCCAATAAAATCTTCAGGTACGGAGTGATTTTCAGGTGGAATATGCCCATCTTTAACACGCAATTTGCCGCTTAAAATATAGGCCAACCCTTTGCGGATGATGGGCCATGTGAGCATGCTAGGCTGTTTTTTGGTATGCGGCATGGCTAGTTTAGGGTAAGCGGTAGCGCTGCTCGTTGTAAAGTAAATCAGGCAACAGCACGTTAGCAAGTGCTCGCTTTTCTAGCTCAGTAGCATTGCTTGGTGGGGCAGATTCTGTTAAATGCTTGGTTCTAGCATCATAAACGCCAAACGCTGCTGGCTTGCCTGAGCGCAGTACAACCACTTGCTTGCCTGTTGCAGTTTCTTCCATCCAGCCAAAATTGTCGTTATATTGCATCATGGCACGGCCTAAAGTATTAGGCGGTAGGCTAGACAAATCTCGTCCGGTCATCGGGTGTTGACCTTCAACACCCATCAGTGAAAGCACTGTCACAGGTAAATCCATTTGGCTTGCCATGCCAGTGTAGCGCTGCGGTTGAATGTCTGCCCCCAAAATGAGGCCGGGGATATGGAAGCGCTCTATCGGCACGAGCGTATCACCACGCACACGAATATCATGGTCAGCCACAATTAAAAATACCGTATCTTGCCAATACGGACTGGCTTTAGCCTTCTTGATAAACTCACCAATTGCATAATCCGCGTATTTCACCGCATTATTATCCGTGCCTTTGGGTTGCTCATATAGCTCAATACGACCATCAGGAAACTCAAATGGCGCGTGGTTTGAAGATGAAAAAGCCATAGTGAAAAACGGCTTACCCGCTTGGTGATGTGCTAAAAGTTGCTCGTGTGTTTTGTTAAGCAAATCTTCATCTGAAACACCCCAACTGCCCGAAAATACAGGGTTTTTGTAATCTTTTTGGTCAACAATATGGGTAAACCCATTCCCCATAAAAAAACTGCGCATATTGTCAAAATGCGATTCACCACCATATATAAACTCAGTCATATAGCCACGTTTTTGCAGCAAATCAGCAATGGTAAAAAAGTTTTTTTGTGATTTTGAGAGTTTTACAGTGCTATCCGCTGGTGTTGGTTGAAAACCCGTGATGACTGCCTCGATACCACGTACGGACCGCGTGCCGGTGGCATAAAGTTGCTCAAACCAAATGCCTTCTTCTTTGAGCTTTTCAATATTAGGCGTGACTGGTACGCCACCGAGAGACTCTACAAAGGTTGCCCCTAAACTTTCTTGCAAAATAATGACCAAATTTAAGGGTTTATCACGTTTATGGCTAGGCGAGAGTGTGGTTAAAGTTGGAAAATCTGCCTCTTTGGCACCTGTGATTTTAAATATTTCTTCACGCGGCATTTTTCCGTAAACTTCGCTTGATTTGGTTTCTTTAATCAAGTTGTAGGCTGAATAAATCACTGAATAACCTGAGTTAAGCACCAAACTATTCACCATATTATCTGGTGTAATGGCAAACAAAGCAGGGTTAGCAGGGCGGTGGCCGAG